ATTAATTATATCATTCACAAACTTTTATCTTATTTTCTTTAATTTCTAATCAATTTTCCTTTAATTCAAACGACCCCAATTTTATATCTTTTTTAAATCCACTCGTTTTCACACTTTCAAATCGATCGTTTAATCCAACCTTGATGTCACGTGTGTTTATTTATGTATTTTAATATTAAAATATAATCGTAAATATAGATAGTATTATAAGTTATATTGGTTAAAAATATCTATTTATTTTATTTGTAAGCATATATTTGATCGTTAATTAGTAGAATTAAGTTTATGGTGGGTGGAATCAACCCATTCATATAATTAGTCACATAATGATAAGGTGGTAGTAAATTAATTTGTTCCATAACTAACATCTTAAACTTACTTTACTTTTAACTAAAGTATATGTGGATAGTAAACTATTAAAAAGTTTTCTCCCACCATTTAACCTCTGAAGTATAGGTGGGCAGAAAACATTAAAAAGTTTCTTAATTAAAAAACAATTAATATAAAATGTCTCAAAAGTCAAGTCTAAATCCAAATAAAAAGTGAATTAAATATTAAATTACATAATAAAAAAAAATTATCGTATATACTATTCTCTTATCTAAAAATTAAGTTAAATATTAAAATCTGGATATTATAGAGTTGAACATGGGAATCTGGATCTTTAATTTTTTTTTAAATAAATTATTTTCAACTATATTCAGAATCTGATTTATCAATCGTTCACTCTAATCTCACATCCCTTACCCATTTTCATGAGTCCAATAAGAATACAGTGATTTTAAAAGAAAAAAAAAAAACTGGATTATTTTATAAATTTAATATAAGAATGTTAACTAGTTTCAGTAATCTTGTATAATAGAGGGATGTTTTATTCCTGTGTAGTGGGACGCAGAGCGTGGTTGGAACGTTTGGTAACACTGAAAGCTTTCCTCACACCAACAGGCCTGGAACGCTGGATCACAAAATTCGCTCTGGCCCATCCGAGAACCACTTTTGTCGGTTTCTGGGCCCCATTGGCCCAACTTTCATCTAAGGTTAAAGATGTCTGTGCAATAGAAAGAAAATGTATCTTTTCTTTTTCTTGTGTTTTAAAAAAAAAAAAAGTTAAACTTTTTCAAAAGTAACAGGTAAAGCACTACTTAAAACATGAAGTGTGGTTTAAGTAAGGCACTGAAATTTAAATCTAATGAAAAAAATATTACACTAAAATTTGATAATGTTAAAAGAGAATGATATTTTAATTTAGAATTAATTGATGATAAAGGGAGAAATTAGATAGGTGATAGAAAATTCTTCTTAATATAATTTTTCAGGAAACTAAGAAAATGTTGATATTGTGTGATTTAATATTTTTCTTAATATAATAAAAAAGAAAAATGATAATTTGACCACCTAAATTTATATGAATCTTTTTAATATTATAATAATAATTTTACTTTATTTTTATTTTTATTAAATTATGATATAAATTATTATATTAATAAAAATGAGTTATTAGAAGGAAGGTATGATTTTTTATTGTCAGACCAAAAAATTGAAGTATATGAGTTTGGTGTGCTTGGTTTGACCACAAAGGAACACCGACATCATCGCATAGGCTTGATCCTTAAAAACGAAAAATGTGAATGTCGTTTTGTTATTTTGTGGTTTCACGGGTGACAAGAATTTATTTTGAGCTGTGTCTAGTGTCTGTGTCACACAAATGATGCCAACATTTGCATGCAAAGAAAATATTAAAATAAAGATTACACAATTCTCGTCATATCTATCTCTTTGTTCTTTCTCAATTGACTGCCCACGGTTTCGCGTGGGACCAAACGCGTCATTGTTCCCACTTTCCAAAGCCTTTGTAATTTCCTTTTTATTTTATAGTATATTCAATATTATATTTTTATTTCAGCTCTAAGATAAAAAAAAAAAATGAAGTTTGGTTATTTTAATATTAATTCGTGGTGATGATTTTCATATTCAGTTCCCCGTTCACACTTATCTCATCTCTCCCTATACCAGCTCACCACAAATTGTGTAATGTTTTATATTGAGTTTTATTGAAATACTTCAATCAAATATTAGTCATTTAAAATAATTTTTTATTAAAAAATTTATATAATTTCCTAAGTGTTTCAATTTTTTTAATAAATAAATTTTAATAATAATTATTTAAAAATAATATTAAATACTTTATTATAAATTTTATACATGATTTATTTTAAATTTATTCATATAAATCAATTTTTTAAAATAATTTAGATATAAAATACATAATAAAATATTTATTTTTATTCTTAAACAATTCTTATTAACCATTTCTTTAAAGATATTAAAAATAAGTAAATTAAAAAGAAAATAAATTTATTAAAAACATTAACAATCAATTGCTGTTTTACATTTTTAAATATAAAAAATAACTAATGTGTTTGATGCCTAATAACCCACTTCGGTTTTATTTGCTCTCGTGAACCCAACTTCCTCTGTATTATCCGACAAAATCACGATCCATACCTAAGAATCATTGGATATTAAAATAATACTAAAAAACTTGTAGTGTCTTCTTTGATAAACTTTCTTACTTGTTGATATAAAAAAATGCATATAATTCATATTTACAAATATTAATTACACTCACAATTTTATTTGATACATACTTCATATAATATTCGAAACTAAAACTTACACATTACACTTTCTACTCTTTTTTATTATTACAATGACTTTAAAGGATAGACATATATACTATTTTAAAAACTTAAAAAAAAAATACAGTTATAAAGTATATATATATATATATATATATATATATATATATATATATATATATATATATATTTTACGGCATTAATTTAATACGGTAATATTAGAAGGATTTCTCTATTATTAAGTTATCTGTTGTTATAAATGTTTTTTTTTAAGTAATAAAAAAATAAAACTATGATTTGATAACACAAGATAAAAGTATTTATTATTTCAGGATGTTTTAATTTCAAATTTTACTTTGTTATATTTTTTTTATCCTTTCAACTATATTGTTAATTTTAAGAAATAAAGTTATTTTTCATAAACAATTATATATATATATATATATATATTACTCATAAACAATTATATGTAAATGTCTACAAATATTTATTTTTCAATACAAGTATACCTTTCAAAAGCTATAAAACTTGGTGAATTTATAACATTATCAATTGTTTTAAATTTTGTAATGTTTATCTAAATTTATTTTCAATAGAAAATTTACTTAAAAAATACAGTTCATAATTATTTATTCAATATACAACCAATTTGAACTATATTTTCATAAGCTAAAATTTTGTTTCATCAATTAGTTTCAAATAATTTAGTCTATTATAAAAATGTCAAATTATAATGTCATGTGACTTATTGTGTTATATAATTCTCATTCTCCAACATGTATATAAAATAAATAATTACATAAAAAAAGAAGATTATAGCATTAAGAATGACATCCTCTATTCCTGTACTTTATATTTTCGTATTAATATATGTTTTGAATTTTTTAAATTTACTTTATGAAATAATTATCTCAAGCAACAATAAAAATAATATAATAAGTTTTATTTTATACAGCTATTGATTTTATAACAAATTAATTTTACTGAAATATAATAAATATATATCATATTTAATAAACATCCTAAATAATAAATAATAAGTTAAGCTAACAATAAATATAATATGCAGCCAATAAATAAATATATTGGACTAATATATATTATAAGTAAAGTTATATATGTTGAGAGATTATTAATTTAAAAAAATTTAAATATTATATTTAATAACTTTCAATATAATATTTAAATATTAAATACTATATATACTCTATATCATTAAATATAATATTTAAACATTAAATATATTATTTGACTGCCCTATAAAATTAAATATTAAATTTATTAATATAATATGTAGAAAAATTATTAAAGATAAAAGTTAAGAGATAAATTAATTTGTTAATATATATTATGCTGTTATATTCTGTTTTAAAATATATTTAACAAACTATTATTTTAAACATTAAAAATAGTAATATTTTAATATATTGAAATATGCATTACATTTAATGACTAAATTGTGTTGAACAAATAACATTTAACATATTATAGGTAAAAAAAATAACTGTCCAATAATATTAAATATTGTACTTGTTAAATATAAGATGTTATTAAAATATTAAATAAAATATTTAAGAAAAAAGTTAACATTATATACTTATACTATTAATTAATTAGAAACCCAATTTTTTTTAGAAGTAATCAGTTAAAAAGTTGTAATTTTTAATTATATAATAATCTATTAATTGACAGTACAGTGTAAAAATAATTTATATTGTCTTAATATTGTAATTAAATTTTATTTTATTTTATTTTAAATTTGGCTTGATTATTATTTTTATTATTTCAAACACATTTTAGTATATATTAATTATTGAGACTTGTGGGGGAGAAATTCTTAATAAGTCTGATTAGTGGGGAAAGTGGAAGAAACACAAAAAACAGAAAACTGATGCTGAAAAAAGAAAAATAAACGGACCGCGCGAAAAAGGAGGACGTAAGAACCTCATCATCTACGCAGAATAATCACAAAACGACACTTTCCATTCACATTCCTCTAATTACGTTACTTTTCCTTCTCCAGTATTCCATTAAAGATGAGTTTGTGAAGGAGTAAGTGAGGTATAGGCACAAAACCAAACTTCATCCTCAACCAGACCATCCTCTTTCTTCTTCTCTGTTCTGCTAGGACACTATCTATATAAGAATCTATAAAATCCCCCCCACACTGTAACTAAATATCTTCCTTATAACTGCACAAAGTATTGTATTGTCATTGTGCTCTGTTTCCACATTCGGTGATAAAAGCCTCATTCTTTATTCACATCTATAGCACCATTCACTTGTTCCACATTCAGTGTTGGAAAAGCATTTTGGATTACCAACCCATTTGGCAAAAGACCCCATCTTTGAAGGAAAGGAATGGGAGGGGGAAAACCCAGATCTTCCATTCTTATGCTCTTTCTCTTTGTGTTCCTTTGTGTTTTTGCAAGGGCACAACAACAGCAACCTATAAAAAATGTTGTTGTTTTGGTTATGGAGAACCGTTCATTTGACCACATGCTGGGGTGGATGAAAGAGAGAATCAATTCGTTAATCAATGGGGTCACGGGAGATGAATGCAACCCTGTTTCTACTAAAGGTCTGAAGCAAGATTCAATTTGCTTCACCGATGATGCGGAGTTTGTGGATCCGGATCCGGGGCATTCATTTGAGGATGTGTTGCAGCAGGTATTCGGTTCTGGTTCCATCCCTTCCATGAATGGATTTGTGGAACAAGCATTGTCCGTGTCCCAGAACCTCTCTGAGACTGTGATGAAAGGGTTTAAGCCTGAGTCTGTGCCGGTTTATGCTGCTTTGGTTAAGGAATTTGCTGTTTTTGATAGGTGGTTTTCTTCAATTCCGGGTCCAACTCAACCCAATAGGCTTTTTGTGTACTCAGCAACCTCTCATGGATCCACAAGTCATGTCAAGAGGCAATTAGCGAAAGGGTACCCTCAAAAAACCATCTTTGACTCTCTGCATGAGAATGGCCTAGACTTTGGGATTTATTTTCAGAACATTCCCACAACTTTGTTCTATCGGAATCTAAGGAAATTGAAGTACGTATTCAAGTTCCATCAGTATGATTTGAAGTTCAAGAGAGATGCCAGAGACGGGAAGCTTCCACCCTTGACTGTGATTGAGCCTAGGTATTTTGACTTGAAGGGCTTGCCCGCAAATGATGACCACCCATCTCATGATGTTGCACATGGCCAAATGCTGGTTAAGGAGGTTTATGAGGCTCTAAGAGCCAGCCCTCATTGGAATGAAACACTCTTTATCATTACATATGATGAACATGGTGGATTTTTTGATCACGTGAAGACCCCTTTTGTCAACATTCCTAATCCAGATGGAAACACCGGACCTTCTCCCTATTTTTTCAAGTTTGATAGGTTAGGGGTTCGGGTGCCCACTATTATGATCTCTCCTTGGATCAAGAAAGGAACTGGTAATCTTAAAACCCAATTTAATTATCCTTTTTCAGCTTCTACTCTTTTCCCAAAGCAATTATTCATATTTTTTTATGATAGAGATGTCAGATGATTGTGTCCAATACTTCTTTCATCATGCGAATTATGTCATGTTGTTATTCTATTGGACGCTACACTAACTTTTTTGGTCCATTGTCCTTTCTGCTTATCGGTATTCCGGTGCGATTACTCTGGAGAGAGCCGTGAGTTTGAGTTCAATAGTTGGCTGACTTTCTTTCTAGAGCCTACAAGACCATGTTTGTCCTTTTCTTTGTGTTTTGAGAGAGTAAGGATTAAGGATTGTTGTTTGCTAGCCAAATTTAGTATACAAACCTCCCATTGATTTTGAGGAATGTGGTTCTGAGTGCTTTGGTTCACCAAATCTTATTTCTTGAGTGTATTTGTTAGATTCTGAAGCTTCAATTTGCTTTTGATTGGTTTGACATGCCTACTAATTTTAACTGACTACTTGGTCAAATTTCTCAGTGATAAGTGGTGCCAAAGGACCTGCTGAAAACTCAGAATTTGAGCACTCTTCTATTCCTGCAACCATAAAGAAGATCTTCAACCTTTCCTCCAACTTTTTGACTCACAGAGATGCATGGGCTGGGACATTCGAGCATGTTGTTGGAGAGTTAAGTTCACCCAGAACGGATTGCCCAGGTATCCAATCTACCCATTTTATGTCCATCAATTGAATTCCTCAATAATACATTCCAATTTGGATTACAACCTCATAAACTTGAACAAAGATTGCCAGTACAAAAAGGGGAGACTTCATCAACTTTGGCTACGAAACTTTCTAATGAAGATTTTTTATACTAATTTAATCATAAATTGACATGTATGATTATTTTATTAACTTTAATAATAACTACCTTAAAAGTTTATACTTATCAAATTTCTGATTGGTTGACAGTGTAAATTTTTTACACTGTCTTGCATAGAAATTAAACTCAAAACCTTGTTATGTGTAACAAAGTAATAAGACAGGTTAATGTGCGTATTTCAGTGACTTTGCCGGACGTGACCCCTCTAAGGAGTACTGAAGCAAAAGAAGATGCAGGCTTGTCTGAATTTCAGGGTGAGGTAGTTCAATTGGCAGCTGTTCTAAATGGGGACCATTTCTTGAGCAGTTTCCCTGATGAAATGAGCAAGAAGATGAGTGTGAAGGAAGCTCATGAGTACGTTCGAGGAGCTGTCTCAAGGTTCATAAGAGCCAGCAAAGAGGCCATCAAGTTAGGGGCTGATGAGTCTGCTATTGTGGATATGAGATCCTCTCTCACTACTAGATCTTCAGTTCATAATTAATACAAAGCAATCTCTGTAACTATTATTATAGATTTAGGTCATCTGATCATTCTTGTGCTAGTTTTTGCTGTTGTGAGAGTGGAATGCTATAGAAGGGTCCAGGGTGTTTGCTAGATTGCTATGAGTATTATTTGGTCTTGAAAGGATGGGGAGTCTCCCAAGGTGTCTGATAGAATTTAAGGAAATTTAAAGAAAAAAATCAAGAAAATGATGGCTCGGCTAGTGAGTAATTTCGAAATAGAAAACTCCAATGCCGTTGTACAAAGTACAAAACTCATAATATAAATGTAGCTCCATAATTTTGTTCTGATTTGCTTGTATTATGTGAATTTCTTGAACAGACATTTTGAAAGGATAGGCAAATGAAAAGCCACTGTCTCTTTCCCCAACTGAGAGATTTAGTTTCAATGTGATGTCAGGGCTGCAACCAATAACTATGTGAAGTTAAATTTTTATAAATTTATTTGACATCGGTGTATTTTAGTCACATGAGCCAGGAAACGAATCCAATAAAAACTTCAGGGCTAAATTTAAAAATCATTCACCCCCATATAAAAAGGGAATTAAATACAAAACAGGAAGGTTCTTTGGTATTTATTCAGCTTGAGTGACACAATCATAAACAAAAATAACGGTTTTTGGTGCCAGTGGTGTATATCCAGGGCGTGAAAACAAAGATTGGAAAATCAAATTCAAAAGGGAGTAGAGATTGTGTTCCTTCTGCAGTTAAACAATTCAAGCCAATATCTCACGATAGTCAATATGATTTGCTTTGCAGTATACTTAATCAACCAGGGGGGATTGAAATCTTTAAAATGTGAAAGGTGGCACATATTCTGGACTAAGAATTTCAGCAACAGGAAGAATTCCACCGACAAAAAGACACCAGATCATGCTGCCCACAGGACATACACAGTGAGATTTGCATATCATGAGATCCTAAGTCTTTAATAAAGTAGAATTTGAAAGAGCCAGTTAGATCATGGCACTCGATAATTTCAATATTTTTGTCATTCTTCCCGCAAGAAATGGTAAGGAATATATACTTCTTGCAGACCGTTGATTCTGGACTCTCTGTTTTCATTTTGAAACTGATACCATTTCTCCTTTCAATTGTAAGGCAAACTTTTAAAACATCTTGAACAAGATACTAATTTATTTACTTATCACTCAATCATTAACTTTTATATTAAGTGGAAATACTCGTTATGTTAAACAAACCATTATTTGTGTATGGATGGATGCACGATTGGGAAGCCAATCACGCATGACCAACACTAATTTTTTTCTTTTTTGCGCATGCAGACCAACACAATACTTGTTTGCTTTGACGTTAAAAAAAACGTGGACCGGAGATGTAATTTGTAAAACCAAACATGCGCTATGTTAACAAATAGATCTGAAACATAAAATGCAGTGTATTCAGCTCAGAAACAAGCTATAAATTGCAAAAATTGGTGAAACGATCAAGTTTCATCATCAGACAAAACACAGCAACCCTTCTCTATGGTTCAAAAGAAAGCAGTTAGTTACATTTTATTTTGTTAAAGATTGGCAGGTTGCTATTTTATAAAATTTATGAGGAAAAAATTCCACAAAATACAAGCCCATTGGACAACCATTTTCAGACAAGCTCTCATCATTAGACTTGTATTAACCCATTGGATGAGAACATATTGAGATCAACTGACACAGCTTCACAAGGAAAATATCAAACCATTTACTGTATTCTGAATCAGGTTTCCATTTTTCCGGACCACTCTACAAATTTAAGTATTCGTCCCAAACTTCAGGTTGAAAAAGGACTTTGCCATGTTGATATATCAGTGATAAGATCACGCAGTTGATCTATGAGTGTCTTCAGGTGCAAATTCTTGTTGGCAAGCTCCTACATTTTATGAGCAGATGTTCAATGTTTGCTACTGATATAATTAAAAAAATGAAAAGACAGTCTATCAAATATTGTTAAATTAGAGATCCGTTCGTGCCTTTTTTTTCTTAAAAAAACTAATTTCTAATAAAAAAAGTTAACAAAATGTAATTTAAAAAAAATGATGGCAAACCTAAAAAGCCCATGCTACTGTTTTTCAAGAAGCTAAAATAATAGCATCATAAGAAAACTCCAAAATAGAGTTGTATCATACTAATTTTTTTTAAAGCTAATACCAATGGGTCATAAATTGTTTCAGAAATAGGCTAAAAATATAAAACCCATAATAAGGATGTCATTAGATTCTGAATTCCAACAAGCTAAAATCTGTTCCTAATACGACAATTTCAAAGCTCAGCCGTTGTAAAGAACACAGTCAAAGTATAGAGATAGAGAGATTAATACATTTATTAAAAACCTGGTTCAAACCTACCCTTCTAAGAGAAGAGGCTCGCTCCTCTAACTTTTCAATTTCAGCTTCATCTGCAGGGCTAGCAGCAGAACCAGCATCAAATGTTTTTGACTGTAACACTAACCACGTTAGTTTAACCAGGAAATAAAAGCTTCACTTGACAAAATTTAGCTGTAAAGCTCACAAAAAGATTACAAAACAAATATTTAAGCAAAACAGTGACCTATATTAATGAAAAGAAAATGCGAGTGTGTCTTAGCGTCTACCAATATCATTTAAGCGTCAATTACACTGAGTTCTATATCTACATTAGGGAGACTGTGTCCACCAATAACCTTTATGAATAATTTTCTTTTAGCAGAATCACGTTTAGCAAATTATGAATTTATAGAAAGTGATTTTGTACAAGTCAATTTAAAACTGTAATATTTCAAAGATGAGTTTGTCACAAGTTTTTCATAATCATATAAAGCTTATCCCTTTTTTTTCACCCACCTTTTATAACCGATATCAATATGAACCTTAGAATAGAGAGTTTGTATCATCTTTTACCTTATCTGAAAGATATCTAAGGAATTAAGATTGAAATTCAGAATCCATTAGCCAAAAATCTGGTTTAGCAAAACAATTAGTAGGCTACTTATTATTCCTAGGGTGTTTGTAATAAAACATAAACAAGTATATGGCCAAAAGTCATTAAGCCATTTAAAACTGCAGTCAGATCTGGAACATTTACAAGGGCTTATGTATGGGAGATAACAAAAAATAATGACAACCCAAAAATTCTTTATAAAAATATATCGGAAGGCATAATGGTTATGGCAGATGCATCATGGATAAAAGAAAACCACCGAGTTCAAGTTCAAGTACAAGACATAAAATAACGACAAAAATAAGTATTGAGTAGAATAAAAATAATGAATAAAAATTGGAGAGGGTGGCACTGTAGCTGGTTTACGGCAAAAAATCAGCCACCTCTTTTGCAATGGCCAATTTTGGATAACACTGAGCACCATGGTCTAAACTTGCATGGTTCAAAGCTCAGTAATTTGACGACCTAAACTTACAAACTGACATAAATCTAATTTCTAGTGCACACACAGAAATCCCCCTACAATGCCAATAAACACGATTTGGTATGTCAAGCAGTTGAGTTGCTGACATTGAAATGACAATAGGAGGTATGTTTGTATTACCGTCAAAGCACGTTGAGCATGAATTCACAGTGAGACATGGATTCCTGTGTTTTGGAACATGTGATAGCCTCAAACACACACTAAATTTCGTTTCCGCAACTGACCTTTAGTTGACAGGAGTTCTAACATTTTAGGCACTAAATATTGAAGGACACTTCATGTTTAGGATTATATTTCTGAACTCTGAAACTGAGGCCTTTTCAGATTTCTGAACTCTGTAACTAAGCACCACATTTCAGTTTAAACCTCTGGGGCCATTACGGTGCTGCCTTTGCACCAATGAACATTGGAAAATTACCATAAAATGATATCATAATTTTTTAACAACTTCCATCATTGAGAGTTTATACCTATATAATAAACTGTATAAAATATTTCAGAATAGTGGTAGGTAACCCCACAATAGCATTTTGGATCGACCCTATTTGAAATTGATAACACTGATGAAGGGCAGGCAAAGAAATATAAAGCATAATTGATGCACTGGAATTCTAGCAGACAGTAGGCACACAAATCCAATCAAATTCCTCACGATGGGTAACATAATTTAATAAAAAATAGATTATGTTAATGCATATGTCTTTGTGTACAAGAGGCAGGACAACTATTCAAGAAATTCCACACCTTTCACTTGTCACAAGCGGGTACAAAAGAATAAATGCAAAATGATAAAAGAAATCCATTATACGTTCTGCACATTTAATTAGTAAACTAAATCCAGGAAGTACAAATATTCAATCTCATAATTACTAATAAGTGAAGTATGTGAGTTAAACACAACCTTTTTCATACTGAAAGACATCTCCTCCATTTCCAGTACTAGATTTTTTAAATCTTTTCAGATCAGAATCCAGGGAGAATTGAACTACTCCCATCTCCAATCCAATCCAACTTAACGTATTACCCTTTTCTATCAACAATTTAACGCCAAATTTATGCGCAAAACCGCAAGGCAGCATCAATCAGTATCGTTCCCACTCTCACAGCTAAATACAATTCACTACATTTAGTTTTGGCACATAATAATCTCCCAAAAGTTCACCAAATTGACGAATCAACAGAATTCATTGACAAAAACACATGTCACGAAAAAGCAAACAAGGTATGGAGATATAAGAGAAAGTCAATGAGCGAAATCATGTACCTTCTGGGAGTTAGGAATGGCAGTGAGAATGGCCCGAAGCGAGGCGACGGCTTTCTTGTACCGGTGCCGAGCCCCATCGAGGGCGCCTCCAGCGGCAGCAGAGGCGGCAGTGCTGTCGGAGAGGTAGTTGGAGTTGTCGGAAGTGGCATCGGCAGTGGAGGAGGGGGCGTTGGGGGAGGTGGAAGTGGCGGAGGGAGAGGTGGACCACAAGACGGGGTTGCAGAGCTCGTCGTTCATGGAAGAGAGGATCTGGAAAGCGAACTCTATGGTTTCTTCCAAATACTTCTGACCCTCCATCGCTAACTCTTGGGTCGTCTTCGACCTCGACATCATGCCATTCACAGATTGTTCGTCCATTGTAATACCTTTACACTCATTGAGCGCCAAATCGATGAAATTCAGAAATCTTAAAACCCTAACATTTTATAGATTGATAATACAAAAAAATGGCATAAAATACGATGATTTTATAGAACTAAATTCATAAATTCATAAATTTTATTAAAGATCATCGTCGACAGCAGGATTCGAACCTGCACGGACGAAACCCAGCAGATTTCAAGTCTGTCTCCTTAACCACTAGGACATTCGGACATTGATGGAACATTTTCGATATTTAAATATATATCTTATTATCTTAATTTAACAAGTTAATTATTTTTTTTATTAAAAAATAAGAATATCCATGTGAAGTTTGTTAAATTCGTATCAAAATATGGATTGAAATATTGTATGATCATTCGTCTCTACTAAAATAGCAGAATGTTAGAAAATATACTTTTTAACCTAATTTTTAAAGTTAAGAATTTTCAATTTTAGGTAACTTTAAATAATAACAAAATGTATATTATTAGATAATGTATAAAGTACTTATAATGGTGAAATTTACATGTCCGTTAAGCAATTCCACACTAAAAACTAAGTAAAAAAAATTCCCTACCAAACTTTTTTTTTTCTTAACATAGTTAAGTAAATAAAATAAAATAAAATGTCTAATTCTTCCTACGTTATCGGTGATTATTTCAATTTTAAAAGCTTATTTAGTTAAATATATTAATGCACATATATACAATACACACACTTAAAAAATAGCTTTGATCCATTACAATTTAATTATACACTGCAAATATATTTGGTGTTCTTGTTTCTGTTTTTTATAGGTTTATATTATTATTATTATTTAAGTTACTTTTAATTGGTTGATTGAATAAAATTTTATATTAATAATATAAAAAAATAAAGTTTATTATTAATGAATTATTTATTATTTAATAGAACTCTATGAAATAATACTTAATATTATTATTATTATTATTATTATTATTATTATTATTATTATTATTATCTTATTTACTATTTTTTAAAACTAACTATGATTGTCCAAAAGTCTTAATAATTATATATTAGTTGTCTTGTAATAAGTGTTATGAAAAAGAAATTTATAATAAGTGTTATTTTAGTTTTTTCCATACGATATTATTTTTTATTTATAATAACATTAAGAATAAATAAAATTTTAAATGAATAATAATATGATTAGTTTTATAAAATCATTTTAACTATTTATTGTTAACTTTTTTATTTATATTAATAAAAATACATGCATTTTTGCAACTTTAATTTTTGTAACTTATTAAAATTTAATTTAATATATTTTATACTAAAATTTTAGTATGTATTTTTATATGGTAATTTTTAATAGAGAAAATAGATAAAAAAATGTATAATAGTATTAAAAAATAATAGTATGAATTTAAAAATTATAACCACTATTGCGATTTAAAAAAAAATCGTTTTGCAACTATATAATTATATATAAAAATTTGAAAATTATAAAGAATTAGTGTTATTTTAATTCTAACAGTAACTTAAAAAAAAAAGTATATAACAAAATTTATTTCCATTTTTATCGATTGGTATAGATATAAAAATTTAGAACAACACTAGGCCATAAGAAAACCTTTCACTGGTTGCAGCAAACCTCCAGAAAAGGATCAACTTTCAAAGGCTGGAATAAATTTTGGTGCTTTGTTTGGGAAGTAAATCTAGAAAGAAAGATGGTGCAAAAGGGACTCCATAAATCATGAGTCTGATGAATCTTCTACCTTCTCTTGCTGTTTCTCACACAAACACACTTCCTAAGCTGAAAACTCAAACTTCAAACCTTGTACTTGGACAAAGGGTCCTACCTAATCTCCTCTCTTTGGCCCTTGCAGCAACCTTAGCCTCTCCTTTTCCTTCTCATGCAATTCCATCCTTCAATTCTCAGTCCCCTCCAATCTCCCTCACCACTCCTTTCTCTCAATCCAAGAACTTGGAACTTGGACTAGAAAATGGGTATGTAATATTCTTCCTGGCTTGCCCCTTTTTTCTCAAATGTAGAATATTATTTACCAGACTACGTTTTCTCAGCCTCAGAATTATGCTTAATTTGGTAGAAATGGCTTGTTGTTTCTTATAGCATTGGATTCCATGCTTGAGAAATACTACCATGGTTTATTATCACCAATATTTTCTGTCTTGCAGAAAAATTAGACCTTGTCCATCAATCAATCCAGGTTGTATATCAACAAATCCCAAGTCATCATCTTTTTCGTTTCCTTGGCTGATTCCTGAAAACTCCTTGGACGATGCTATTCAGGTTTATAAACATTCCTCAAAAGCGTCCTATATTTCCATTATGTCTATATTGACTGTTTTTAACTTTTCTTGCTATGCTTGTTTGCATGTGAGTTATGCATATAGTCATTTCTTAGGCACATGTCCTGTTTGTCTAACTTTTTATTATTATTTTCCAGAAACTACGTGAAGCAATCCTAAAGACCCAGAAAAATGTGAAATTCCAACTTGTGGAAGATACACCTGATGGTAATACAAACGCCATTCTTCCTCTTTTGATCAGTTTTAGATCAATTTAGAAATAATAACAAGCCAATAGCAAAATAGGAACTTATAGGCATGCCAACTAAAGACCAGCATTTTTATCAGACTGTGGACTTGGAATTAGGAGGGATTTGATCTTAGGTTTTGGATTTGAAATGATTATATCTGAGTAAGGCCAATGTTTGATGAGATTCAAAAAACAACATCTTGCATTGCAAGCGACAAGGCATAACTCAATTTACTAAAATTTATATATGCAGGTAAATATCTACTAGCTGAAGTTGATGGAGGATTTGGTAGGGATGTTCTTGAGTTTCTGGTGAAAGGTGATGTGGTTGCTTACAGATGTATGGCAATGAAAGTAACTTATGTGTACCCATTCACTACTGCATTAGGAGATTCGAAGGGTCAGGAAGCAAGATTGAAACAAATTAATGACCTGTTGGGATGGTATGCTCCAAGTTTTGATTCCATGGAATAGTATTGTTTCTTGTTTTATTTGCTTTAGTTCTTTGATTAGTGTCAAGCTGAATGGCCTCATTGTTACATTTTGCCTTATTATGTGGAATTTCACGGCTTTTGCAGCTTCTTATTTTAATGTTCAACAGTCTTGGACTCACCATGGTAGAATATTTTTTTATCAATGATTCTATCTGATAGTTTCTACAACCGTTTGTATTAGATTTTTCTGCATTTAGCCTAGCCTAATTGTTTGGTAATTACCTTAAAGCAGCAGGGAAATATACTATAGCCATGAAATCACCAAATTTACTGAAGGCAAAGAAGTTCCTCGAAGGAAAACGGGAAAATTTAGCAAAGATGGTTGTTGTGTCCAGCCAAAAGTAATAATTGCATTTTTGCACAACTATTAATGGTGGAAAATTCTTCACTTGTAAAGGAGGTTTGACGTGGTGAGGGGTGAAAAGTTATAGGCTATTTTTAATATAAACAACTCATAAATTCAATATTGAAAAATGTAATTTGTTGTTCAATAGAAGAAACTACAATCAACTTACCTTTGAAAATGTAAATTGTGGTCTTCATTGTCTATTGTGCTTGAAGGAACTTGAAGGAACTCAATGTACCAGACATATTGATTCCAATAGAAATTTTCTTAACGAAACAATTACAAAACTTAAGGAATTAGAAACATCTTGCTGTGGGAGATGCATTAAGGGGTATTTTGCACTGAACTGAAAAACTGTAAAGCCTTGTTAGATGAAGGAAGGCAGAAACAAAAACACAACATCTTGAGGGAAGTGAGAGCTTCTGAAGGTTTGGAAGATAAATCATAAATAACTTTTGAATGTATGAGAAAAATACAAAAGTGAGTATCATTTCTATGATTGCTTGGTACTGTGAAAGTGTAGTATTTGAAATTTAAACTAACTGAAATAAATAATAAAATATAAAATCTTCCACAATAACAACATTACTATTTAAAATTTATTTAAATTTCAAATTTCAGGTAAGGAAAAATTCCATAATTCATATACTCTTCTTTGAAATTTGTAATGAAGATGTCTAATTTTAACTCAGTGAACTTTAAACTAAAAATTTTGCATCAATATTTAGTAAAATTCATGTATATCAATTTGGTGTAAATATATAGATTGTAGTTGAAAGAATTTAACAGCACCGTATTTTTATTAATATTTTACTATTAGGACTTATGTAAGTGTTCGGATGTATTTATAAAAATAAATATGATATAGATTGTTTATAAGATTTTTGGAGTTAAAAATAATAAGCTGATTAAGATAACTCAGTGAATATGTAAGGTGGGAACAATCATATATCCTATAAAAGATTAAAAAGAAAACTTACGAAATAGTTTGCTTGTCCTTTAGTTTATGTTCGAATGCTGCTTCTTTTTTTCATATCATGGCAAATGAATTATACAAAAGTTATGTGTAGATATATATTTTTTTCATAATCACGAAGGAAGAGGAAAGGAAAATGGAAAAAGGAAAAAAAAAAAAAATATATATATATATATATATATATATATATATTTTTTAAGAAGTAAAATCAACAAAAATACATTATCTAATGTATCACTTTTTGTATTTTTCATTCAAGACAAAAGTTTTAAACCTTATATGTGTTAAAGAACTTAACTAAAGTTCTAAAACTAAAGATACATTATCTAGTATATTTTTTTTTCATTCATGTCTACTAACCTTAATAAAGGATATGATACTTTAATAAACCATCCAAATCTTGCAAGTATTTACAACTTTTTTTATCGTCCAAACATTTTACCAGTTCATTAGTCTCTGGTCCAAGTTTAATATATTATTTGACTATTGTTCAAATACGTTAGGAATTAAAAACATTGATTTAATCTTGAATATTTAAAAGATAAGTAGCATAATACATATGCAAAAACAAAATAAAAAATCACACAAAGTTTGTAAATGTCATTTAAATCTGCTAATCATTAAAAAGTAATATTTAATTTTAAAAATGGGATTAGAGATACAGAAGAACTGTTTGAAAATTGATTTGAAAACGGATTCGTTATTTTAAAAAATCAATTGAATTTCTTGACCAGATAATAAAAAAATTAAATTAAATTTTTAAAAATTATTTAAAGATAATTTGTTTCATAAAAAAATATAATTATTTTTTATTTTTTATTCTTTTAATGTGTTCATTTTAATTTTAAATAATAATCATTTTATTATATTTTTATCTTATTTTATGATTATTAATCTTTTATTAAATATTCATTTTATATTATAATGATAATAATTTTTATTATTGTTATAATTAATTTTTTATTTTATAAAAAATATTATTAATAATTAATTTATTATATATTTATTATATTATTATGTTTTAAAAATATTATTTTATTAAATTTGATCTACCTTTAAAATCATGTTTTCAACCATTAAGTTCGATTTTTCAAAAATATTGGATAACACTAATCAATCAATTCATTTAGTAAACAATTTATTATATAGCAATTGGTAAATAATTGAAATTTTGTAAGTCTATATGCAGAAGTTTAAATTTTGATTTTAAGTATATACAAGACTGAAAGTGATAAATTTCATTTCGATTATTATAGCACCTCGATACAAATTGGAGGATATTTTAATGCAACAACAAAAAATCCTTTTTATTTGAAGATTTCTAAAATTTATTATTAAATTTTTTTATTTACAATAATATCCGAGAAAAACAAATGAATTTTCTTATATTTTGTATGTAAATTAACCGGTCATTATGTTATTTTATGTTTGAAATCATATTTTGATATAAATACTTTTTCTAAAATCTTGTACTTTAGTACGTTCTCCACCTCCTCTGTGTGTTACACCTTCCATTAAGATCATTTTCACTTTAACATTTGAAATCCCTTAATTATTTATACTTTAAATTGTATTACATGCAACCAAAACTGCTATGAAGAAACATATCTGTTGTATTTGGGGTGTTTCAAATTATTGAATTTGAAATAAATTTTTAGAAAACATAATCAAAATATAAGTATCAGATAAATTAATTTGAAATGTATTTTAAGAAAATACAATCCAAAAGTGTATTCTAGATTACTAAATCTAAAACCGTATTCTGGATTATCAATCTAAAAGATGTTTTTTAAAAACACAAATCCAAAAGTATATTTTATAATTATTCCATAAAAAATCCGTCGGTAATATTTTTATTATTAATTATTTTCTCCTATTACATTTTTAAAGCCTTTAACTATTATTAGATTAAGAGAATTGTTATTAGCAGGATTTGAACCCAGTACTTTAGAATTAGAGGCTGATATTTCAACCACTAAATTACCAGAATTTTTTGATAATAATTTACAAATAAATTATATTTATATATTTATATATTTATATATTTATATATTTATATATTTATATATTTATATATTTATATATTTATATATTTATATATTTATATATTTATATATTTATATATTTATATATTTATATATTTATATATTTATATATTTATATATTTATATTTTTTATATATTTTTATATTTATATTTTATATATTTATATATTTTTATTTTATATATTTATATATATTTATATATTTATATATTTATATATTTTTATTTTATATATTTTTATATATATTTATATATTTTTATATTTTTATATATTTATATATAATTAAATATTTTTATATATTTATATATAATTAAATATTTATTTTTTTAAATTATATAATTTAAGAAATTATTATAAATTAATCTAATTATGATTAAATTAAATTATTAAATAAAAAATATTTAATTTTTTAATTAGGTGAATATTTACTAATGGTTAATTTATCGATGGAAATATCCGTCGGTAATTTACGAATGAATTTACCGACGGATATATCCGTTGGTAATTAATTGTTAATTTATCAACAGATTTATCGACGGATATATCCGTCGATGAACTAATTATTATTTTACCGATGGATATATCCGTCGGTAAAATCAAATTCCACAAATATTTTATATCCGTCGGTAATTTCCGTCGGTAATAATTATTTTCCAACGGTTATAAATCCGTCGGTAAATATCCGTCGGTAATACGCGATTTTTTTGTAGTGTTCAAAATATATTTTTAGGATATAAAGTCTGGAAAATGTTTCCAAATCACCGGTTATGGATATTCTATAACAAAATTGTAAGTTTTGAATCACTCGATCAGAATTATTCTAAAATCACATACCCAAAATGTGTTAAGTGATGTTTGGTAATAATATTGTGTTTGCTAATAAGAGACTAAATTATTTAGAAAAAAGATAAACGTAAACATTTAGATGTTATCATATATATATATATATATATATGTGTGTGTGTGTGTGTGTGTATGTATGTATGTATATGTATATGTATATATATGTATGACCATTAAGAAAAATTCAGAATGTAATGTATCAGCTTCTAATAAAGAAAATTGGACTTTATCATTTGGGACATTGCAATTATCATTATTTCTTTTATACTCTCGTACAAGTTGGAGATCTAAATATTTTAATGAGCTTCAACTTAGATATATTAACTTTAAATAGTGTTAGAGACAAGACTTTGGTGAAAATGTCAGTCAATTGATTAGAGGAAGATACATAAAAAAGATGCATTAGACCATGTTGAGATTTCTCTCCGACAATATGACATTCAATATCATGATGTTTAGTTTACTCATGAAAAATTGGATTAGCATCTATGTGTAACGCACTTTGACTATTACAAAACAAGACTGATTGTTGCTCACAAAGAATATGAAGGTCTTGTAGCAAATAAGTGATTCATTGTAACTCACAAGTAATAGAGGCAAATGTTTCATACTTTGCTATAATGATGATGTTAAACACAACATCTTGTTTCTTGGTTCTCCAAGAAACCAAATACTTACCTGTAAAGAAATAATATCTTGTAATAGATATTTGAGAATCTACACAAGTAACTCAATCTGCATCAATGAACCCTTGAATTTGATTTGTCTATTC